AAAGTGCCTCTCAGCCAAAGATCTAACAGCACTTTATGCCAGTAAACATCATTACTGTAGAATATCTCCAGAATATTTCTTATGATCCAAGACCTCTTATTCATTAGAGCAGGCTAATAGATACCTTATCTTCCTTCTCCTCGTCAGTGCATGGAGGTTGGAGAGACAAAATGCCTGGTATTTTTTTACTCCATAGATAACTTGGCTCTGAATTGTTGCTGTATGATTCCCACTCTCAGACTTCGGCTTGCAGTGTAAGTCTGCCACAAGGATGTGCCATGTAGCCTGGGAAGAAAACCAGCCGATCTTTTATCATTATTGCCTTGTCTCTCTGGGTCACAGAGAAGCAATAGCCGCAGTTCAAGACTATGTTCAAAGGAGAGATGTCAGGACTGAATTGTTTTCTGGTGAAGGAAGGATGGGTGAAATATGAAATGCAGTCTTCTATTTGCCCTTATCTATGTGTTTCCTGACAAGAATATTGCACCGTATTTCCATGGCTCTGTAATTCAAAGCTGAAGGTACACAGATTTGTGGAAAATAAAGATTTAATTGTTCAATGGTAGAAATCACTGTTACAAACATCAGTGTAGATTTTATATTACATGTTCTTTCTCAAGTGCAAGCACTTCTATCTCAAGTAAGGAACAGCACACTTTTGAGAGTTACTCGGTTTAATTTTCATACACCTGCTGCTGTAATTATTGTAATTTAATGCACAGAGACGTTTTTACTTTCTGAGCAGTAGGGGAGTTTGTCCATGAAAGTTTCAGACGAGGTGTGTCTGTCTCTTTCAGCCCTCTTTTCCAGTAGCCTTTAAACCTTTCAGGAAACACTGATCAGATCTGGTGATGGGGGCCAGCAGAAGGGGAACAGAGGTAGGAAGGAGCTAGAGATCTTAAGTCCCTACAACTTCCATGCAAACTGTTGGCTTGGGTACAGGAAAGAGAGAGGTGCTGGTCTCGCCAGCCAGGAAAGGCTGCTGCATGAGCTCCGCAAGCTTTGGGGTGTGTTTGGCTGGGGGGCCGCATGCCTGCTGGGTGGCAGGGGAGCACCTGCAGCCCTTCGGGTCGGCCGCCCCCGGCACGGGATGCTGCTTGCCTTGCTGGTCAGCGAGGATGGCAGAAGAGCCGACCATGGAGTAGTTCCAAGACTGTTTTGAAAAAGGTTGCAGGTTTGGAGGCGGGGGGAAGATTGTGATGGGTGGAAGGTGGTACAGTGGATTGAGAATATTTCTGGAGGAGGGAAGAGGTGATGAACGCTCTGTAGGGGAGCCGGGTTTATTGTGGTAAGTATTCTTTAATATTCTCTGTAATATTCTCTGTGCGCAGGACTATTTGTTTATTTCTACCCTATCACCGTGAGAGCATATTTCTTTGGCAGGTTGTTGTATGTTTACCTAAGTGATCTACCAAGTCTTTGGTCAGTATTTTATTTTCAACTGTTTTTATTCCGCTTTTCCAACAGCATGAGTTTTCTCATAGAGGACAATCATGAAAATAGCAAACAGGCTGAGATGGGTGGCCCAAGTCTTGTGTCACATCTGACATAAATTCAGAATTGCTTCAGAATGTGCATACTGAACCAGTAATTACTCTGATTCTTCTTCTTAAGCCATAATTTCAAGCTAGGTAACTTCCAACAGTTGAATTAAGCTTGACAGTCCAACACTGTTATTTAAAATACTGTAAGCTATATATACATCAGCTGTGTGTATCTGAAGTGCATTAAAACCCATTAAAGTAGACTGAGTCAGACTGTTTCAGTGGGTCTTGGATTACAGGTTAACAGAGAGCATGGCACCATGGCGTTTTTGCAAATTCCTGCATTTGATTTTCCGTCAATTGATTTTCCCTTCAGTGCTGGCTGGGAGCAGGAGTTGTGTAGGGGTCTCGGGACAGCCCCGCTGTCGCCCACCTCTCTGCAGCCCCGTGAGGAGCGGGTGGAGCACAACACAATTTGTTTGCTCTCTGCTGTCTTCCTTGCTGTCCTGTGGGATTTGCAGCTGCCAAGTTCAAGGCAGTCGCCTTGGTGTGTTACAAGCAAGCAGGATTGAAGCAGCAAGGGAGATGAGGCAGTGGGGGAAAGGCGAGGACAAGATGGAAGGGGATAAGAAGTTGCTATAACTCATGTATGTAAGCAATCGCAAAATGAAGAAGCAGAAAGTATTCATATATAAATATTTTTTTTCTGGTCTGAAACATCTTAAATTTCCCTTAAATTATAAATAGAAGTTCACTGATACAAAAGCTAGCACTGATGTATGTTTGAATGGGTGTGATTTGGTAATAGCTTGGGTGTGGCAGGCAAGGAAATAAAGGATGTAAACAATTTACGACCATTTATTTTTTTATTAGAGCTTTTATCTTTGTAACTGTTATTAGTTGCCATAGCTACAGACAACACAGGGCTTGTTTGGGTTAATGAAAAGTCTGTCATGCTGATAAAAAAACATGATTTTTCTTGAAAAATCTGCATTACTTCAATTCCACCATTCTTGGCAATTAATTTTAACTATGCCTGCATTCATGTATATAATTAAAAAATTGTGGCATATAGTAGTCTACCTTTTTTTATATAGCATCTGCAGAATAATTTTGAGAACCACGCAGTACCAAACAAATTGGGCTTTAATTTAAAGATCATATTGACAGATAGAAATTACTGTTCTGCCAGTTTACAGATGTGCTTCTGTGCTTTCTAAGATCATTCTTACGATTTTTTTCCACCTTGTAAAACAATTACAGAACATTATCAGGTAACTGATTGGCTCACAGGTGCGGTTATGAATGTGCACAGCTTAATGTCATGTTATGATGTTGCTTTAAGTATGTGCTCTTCCTACGTGTAAGTTCAGATCTCAAGTGATAAATGCAAGGAATATGACTTACCACATCCTAAATCCAGCTACTCTGTCCAAATAGAAAGCAGTTACTTGCTGTAAATGTACCACAACTGAGATTCAATAAATGGTCTTATATGAAGAAAAATTTTTTAAGATTAAGTAGCTTTTCTATTAATATTTGGTAAGCGTGTGCAGGATGGTTGTAGTTCAGTATGCTATGGACAGTATTTTTTAATGAGTTTAAGGTGGCCGCATTTCTTACAAGTGTGTGTGTTACTGTTCAGGAGCTGTAGTCAGGATGAATCTGAAATAAGCGTTACTTGGGGAGGGAGGAGAGATGCACCATGTGGGGAACAGAGAAGAAGGAAAACTATGAGTCAGCTTGATTTAAAATAAAAATACACACAGTCGTTCCTTGGAGAGTTGGAAATAGTGGGAACAGCCCTTGCAAAGTGGATGCAGGGTCAGAGTGCAGGCAAGAGGCAGCTTACGGTAGGGTATCGGTCCAGACCTGTGGAAGATAAGGAGTATGGGTTTAAATGATGCTGTTTCTTTTAGGAATGCAAAGCGTTTCAGCGTAAAGGCTGAATTCAGAGCACCACTAAATAAATGGATTGCGCGCTGGGGATGTGTCTGGCTTCAGCATGGATGAGCAACCCTTGCAGCTGCAGCACATGCTTTTCCTATGAGCAGTGAGGTTAGGTGGTAAATCAATTAATCTATTAGTAAAAACTACTCCATACTGGAGAACAGAATCCCTCAGATGAAATGCTCACGGTGCTCGAAGGTTGCGGGCTTCTTCCTCTCTTGCCTGCAAGCTTAGCCACATTCATTTCACTACATTAAGCCTTTTGTGTTTGTGGTTATGAGAGAACAGGATTTGCCCCAGTACCATCATTTAATAATCAGATATAGGAGAGGTAACTGGGATGGTATAGCTCTGCAAGGACTCTGACTGCTGGTGTGCAGAGAGAAGAGCAACAGAGAGAACAGTGCTGCGTCTTACTCGCAATATGCCGTGTATGTTTCCACTGCATTCTTTCAGTAGTGAAATTATACTTAACTGTCCTTTTAATGGCTACAGAATCAAGATCCTAGAATAAGTATTTCTTGGGGAAAGATAGGTTATTAAAAGCAGCAGTAACTAAATTTGGGGGTTTAAAAGTACTGAAAACTTTGCCAGATGTCTTAGAGTTTTGAAAAATAATTTAAATCTTTTTAGAGATTAAAACCTATTTTTCTAAGTTAGAACAGTTTATTTTGTCAGAAATAAATCAGGATTAATAAAAACAATAGTCTCCTAAGGATGAAAAAAGGGTTGGATGTGTGCATGAGTCAGGTTTCAGTTTTAAACTCAACAATAGTGCAGTCTGTAATTACATCCTTTCCATTTCTAAATATCCAGATCACAGTGTTCTCAGGCCCAGTTTGTGAATTTTCTCCCTATACAGAAAGCCAGGATGAAGTGTTCAGTAATTCAGTAGCTTTGAACCAATTTTAAAAAAAAAAAAATTATTTAACATAGCTTTAGAAAATAAGTGTTCTAATCTTTGTCTTTATCATCACACAATGGCTGAGTCTTTGTGATTTTTCTATTTTTCCACCTCTCAGCTGAGCGTTGGCTGTGTACTCGAGCAAGATTGCTCAGTGTCTCCCCACACCGAGCCTTTCTCTTCAGTGGGACCCAAAGGAGCGAGCCGGGGTCCCTGTGGGACTTGCAGCTGCGGAGGTTATTGCAGTAGCAACATCCTGATGCACCACTCGCCTTTCCCAGTCCTGGACTCAGGATGTGGAAAAGGATGGTGCACGCATCTGATATACTAAAGATGGCTTTATCTGCTGCAAGTAGTTTTGTCCTTAAAGGGCTCCTGAAATTAAACTGGTCAAATGTCTGTAATTAACATGACTGTAGCAGAATTACTCAGATATATTTATCCCGAGTTGTGAATGAACAAGGTCTGGCCTCACGTGTGTTTTCACTTGAGTTTCTTTACTCAGGTTAACAGAAAAAACCCCTCATGTAATACTTTCAGAATTAGGCTCATAATAATCCATTTGTTTAAAACGATCCAGCCGTTCCTAGTGGCAAACCTGAGAGTATGAGGCAACTCTTTACTGTTGCAGGACTTTTGACTTTGCTGTGTTTTCTTTGTAGGGCCTCGGTATGTCCGGTGGAAGTCAGGCTGGCTTGGGGACTCCTTCATCCAGGCAGTATGCACGACAGAAAATAACTCGCGTAAACCTCAGGGACTTCATCTTCTACATGGAACAGGAAAGAGAAACGAGCCATTCTCTCCTGCTCTATCGAGCTCTGCTTAAGTAAAGCCAAGAATTGTACTGATTTCTCCATACAGAAGCTCAACTTGCATTGAAAAGCTGTCATTTTAATGTGCCTTCTATTTTTTTCAGAAGTCAATGTTCCAGTAATTTTGTTTTGTAAAATTGTCAGACACATGCAATAAATTCCCTTTATGTAAAAAAAAAAAAAAAAATAAAAACCACAAAAAAATGTGCAAAAGGTTTTAAAATGTTCAATCCACAAATATAACCGACATCAAAGTCTTGCTCCATTTGGCCATTTTAGATAAGGCTGAAGCAGGCGGCATTGAAGCTACGCAAAGGGAAAGACGGCTGCAATGGCTCACCTAAACCATCTCACGGCAAGGAGGATTGGGACAGGTTCACGGCGTTGGGACCTAGCCATGGTGTTAACCTGTACGTTCACTGACGGTGCTGATTTTGTTTTCTCTTTAGTTTTACTAGCACTGTTTCCACTGACTAACCATGGTGATACCTGTTGTTGTTTTAGATTAGTTAGAATTGCAACTTTTTGCACAGCTAAGAGAATAGCCACTGCACACGCTCACAGATTTTATATATTTAGGATTTTTGCTTTTACTGCACAGCTCATTTCCTGAGCCATTTGCTGAACCAAATCCTAAGTGTATGAAATCTGTGTGTTCGGGTCCCAGCTGAGTTACCTTGACTGGCTTCCAGTTGTTTTCTACGTCTCTCCGATCTTTTGCACATTTGTAGCAGCTGGTTAGTAACATGAATCAAAGTTGGGTTTTATTTTCTAAAAAATATCTTAATTTATTTATTGCAAAGAGTATGGTTTAATGGTGGTTTTAAAAGAGAGTATTGTTCAGTATTTTAGAGTATTCTATATGGATTTTTAAAGTCGCTGTAAAGGAAGTTTTTGGGGGCCAGTTCCACTCGCAGAGAATGGGGAGAGCAGGGGTGAGCCCCAGCAGCCGGTGCCGCCGGGTGGTCAGGGCAGCGCCGCAGGGGCTGGCGATGCCTTTGCCTTGGACGATCGGACCCGAGGACTCCAGTCCGGAGAGGCTGTGAACAAGCGCATGGCTTTAAGCATGAAAAGTAGTTTTAAGTACTTAAAGGTGGGATGAATGCTTCTTAAATGCTTTGCTGAATTGGAATTTAAGGGGCCCGCACCAAAGCCGAGCGACGTCAGTGCGAGTCTGTGTAATGGGCATGGGACAGGAACACCAGGCCGGCGGGCGGGCGCGAGGCGGTGCGCTTCAAACAGAACAGTATTATCGGTAACCGTGGGAGGGAGACGTTTGCTTATTTATCTTTTCAATTTGTACTATGTTATGCTTGCCACTTTTTTGAGGCAATACTTTTTTTTTTTGATGGGAAACCATAGCGAAAGCACAAATAGAACTATTTGTCCAATAGTTTTAAAAACAAAAGTTTTAATTATTTTTTAAGGTTTATGAAAAGCAGAAGAAAATTTATACTGCTGCTATTTAGCCAAAAGATTATTCATAAGGTATTTAAGGCCAGGAAGTGTAAAATTATGTTTTAAATGTATTGATAATTTGTACATATTGTTTATAAAGGCCTTGTGTTTATTAGAATTATGTTATTTTGATGATTTCTGTACATACTCGTAAATACCCCCAATTTGTGTGAAAACATACGCCCTTATTTGTACTTATTTTGTAAAGAAATAAAACAATTTACTAAAGTAACACATCGAGTGACATACAGTATTAATTTATCAAACATGAATTTCACATTGTCTTGTAGTTCTTAAGCACTGTTCAGAAACATTTTGCATTAAAATATGAACAGAATACCCACAAAGAAATATTAAAACCAAATACTTCAATGTTTTGTTGTGCTGATTCTTCTCCTTTGTCAAACATCTAATAAAATTGTCAACAGACCTCGATGCTGTTCGTACAGCGAGTGGACGCACTCCACAGTTGCCGTCTCGGAAGCGCTCAGCCCGGTAAGCACAACGTAACATTCCTTCCTTCGCTTCCTTTCCCCGACCGGGGAGCGCAGCGGCGTTACAGGGTTGCACAGAACGTGCGAGCACAGGCTCCTGTTCTTCGAGCCATGGGTTCGGTGCTCAGCAACAGGGAATCAGGACAATTTTGTTCAATCGAATCAGGCGAAAACCCAGGCTACGGTCACTTTTTGGCCTTCACAATAAAAACGTTTGCTGGCTGCGCACCACAGCTCGACTGGAGTTTCTGTGGTAAACCTGCTTTAGCGATGCTGAGCAATGTTCCTAATTAAGTTATGCTGCTATGGTTTAAGGCCAGAAGTAAAAATTCAAATCGGTTTTTGCTGATATTGCTGCCTAAAAATACAGGGAAATAAGTAAAAAAGATACAAATGAAACTGTAATAAACTTTAAATAAGTGACCTGAAGTTACTAACTAAAAGAACATGTCCTAGCTTAACTTTTTTTTTTTTTTAAAGGCATATTTCTTCTAACAAAGTGATTGTTTCCACATGTCTTCCGTGCCTTAGTGCTGTTTTGCAGTCAGTGTCGTGATGTCATGGCTCAAACTTTCCATCTCAAGTTCACATTTCGCTCGGCTGGCGTAGCCTGGAACCCTTTACGATGCCACCTTAGCAAGCTGCCCCAAGTACTGCAGCTGCTTTATTGAGCGACAAAAAGAAATACAGTAAACACCAAACTGAAGAAAACCAAACCAACCAACCAACCAACCAACCACAAATGCTCGCGGTGGCGTTCCACAGCCAGCGAAGAGCATCCGCCCGCTTCCAGGCCTGTGCGAGCCGCCTTCGGCAGGCGCTCGGCGCCTGGTCCTGCTTGCGGACGCTGGCCTCGGGGGAGGCTCGGCCCAAGTACGAGCGGCAGAACTGGGCCCCTGTGTTCAAATGTAAACGTGAGGCGCTGGCCTCTCCCCCGGCTGAGAGGTAAGGACCGGAGGGGCTGCGGCGAAGCGCTCAGCCGCCGCTAGTGCTAACTGCCCCTCTTCAGGAGGGCAGGACAAAAGCATGTACAGGGTAAAGACACAAAGCTAAACGGATTGTTGAAGGATAATCTGAACTTAAAGTGAACTCAATGTATGAAAGTAATAAATAAAACACTTTTTCTTTTTGTAAGACGTGGCTACATCAAGCTGAACGGAGCAAGAGGCAGGAGGAGACGCAATCAAAAGTTCTCACCTCTTTCGAACATCATGGGAGATACAGTGAGTGTTCCACCCTACTTGCTTGGTTTTGATCATTTACTTTACAGAAATGTTTATGGCATGAAGTACTGTATAAGAAATGTGCATACACAAATACATGACAATTATACGTTAAGTTCTTTACAATATTAAATGTATAATATACAATTCTACAGATATCTTACATACAAAGGTGAATGTTGTGCCATATATTCAAATACGGCGATGCCTAGCAACTTCAGGATGTCGTACAAGTATAAAACCACAAAATAAAATAACTTTACAACTCTTTTAAAGTAGACAGATTTGCTCAACTGTTCTGCTAAGTTAGCAGGCCAATGCGTATTGGCGAAGATTTCCAGAAGAGATTTCTGAGTTGAGTAACCAAGGTGAGAAAACCTGCAGAGGTCTGATTTTCCGAGGATGGGTATTCAGCCCTTTTCCAAAAATCAGACCCCTGCCTAGATTGTACCTTGGGTAGTCAGTACAGCCCATCGCTTTTGAAAACACTAGCCTTAAACATGATTTTTTTTATTTTATTTCATTTTGCCCAATTGTAGTCATTTGGCATTAAAGAATTGTTGACCATTTAATACTCTGTCCTTTGTTCTATCTGGCCGCATTTATGCATCTAAAAAGAGTTTAATTAAAATTCAGCATCTACAACGGTATTCTATAAATTAATGTGGGAGAAACTAAATTGTGATTAACACATGAATCATGCTGAACAGCAATAAACAGGATTTAGCAGAATGCTATTTATAACCTCGCACCTGCAAACACGGTGCTGTCTCCTGAGTTAGGAAGCCCCGCAAGTCAGCGTGGCTACTGGCTGGCGGAAGGAGCAGTAACCTCCTGCGGACAGCGGGCTTCGTTAAAGAGAAAATTACACAGATAGAGGGCAGCTACAGAATCGGTATTTTAATAATAGTTTAAAATAATAGAGGAAAAACAATCTAAACAAAAGGTGGCCTGCTTTCATCGGACAATGGCAGTAGAGGGTTCTAACATCTTTTTGCAAAAATTCCAGACCCATGAAGAGTAGGCTCGTCCAAAATTCTTAACGTTTCCTCCTACACGTGGGCTCATAACATGGTTAGTAAATGAGTAACAAGGGCTGGCAGAGCTCGCTGGGCAGAACCACGCTTCTTTGACGATGCAAAACTTAACAGTTTCTGAGTCAAAACAAGACTGGCTTTAAGAGAACTACAGCTCCGCGCTGGGTACGTGACCCTTGTGTGATGGTGGATGGCATTTTGTTTTGTGCTTCCGGATCCCTACCTTTGCCAAGTATTGCCATAATCGGCCTTGTCAATTTTGTTGACGCTTTTTTGTTTGGTTTGTGGGGGTTTTTTTAGTACTGAGCACCAGTTGACTATAAATCTGTCCTTTTCTGATTCTGGATTCTGTCCATGGAGAGATATTTCAGTTGGAAATGTTGTATAAAAATAAGCCATTTGCTAGCATGAGCGAGTACAATCACGGAAGTGTAACGTAACGTATGGAGGTGTAAAGCACGTCTGATATGAAGGAGGTGCGGCAGTCAGGGAAGATACTCAGTGCAGGTTTTAGTGTACCGTCTTCCTCTCGGAGGCGCCCGCTTCCACGCGTCACAGCATCGGGGTATCGTTGGGAAGGCTGCCAGAACCGTTTCTCCTGCTGATCTATCCAAATTGCTTTAATTGGTCTTTCTGCAGAAGTCCAATCTAGGGTCAGGGGTTTATGAAGCTTTGCCTTTTTCACCACCACAGCTGTTCAGCCCAAAGTACGTTCCCAGCAGGGCTGGTACGCTGAGCATGCTCAGGAATTTCATTGTGAAAAACGGACAACTGGTTTTTCAAATGCATTTCATGGCTGGCTATGTGACAGGTAGTTTCAGAATACCACTAATTGGCAACATAAAGTCATAAAGTCAAAATCTGTTTGCTAATACTGTTTTGCAAATCCTTAGTGTTTCACATAAGGGACTATTAAACACTTCTACGGTTACAAAGGAGTACAGGAAGGGTCTAGTCCAGGGGCTCCTGTTTTATTCTGATTGTTGGGGTAGGTTGTGGTCGTCTGTCTTCGCGACACAGCACGTATTCGCTGAACTGAGAGGAATCCACCCCACCACCGCATGAAGCTGCCACGTTAAATCCCTTCTGAAATAATCTTTCAAGCACCTGCAATGGGAGAAATGGGAAAAAAAATCAGTTTAATATTTAGCAAATCTTAGCGATAAAAACATTCAGGAGCAGTGGATCTAAATGATGGATTTAGTCTTTCGAGTCCTCGTTGAATGAATATTATTCAGCTATAATTCTATAACTTATTCTTAAATGACTACACTGTGATTAAAGTCTCGCTCTCAGCAAACCTCTGTAGAAAACAAAAATTAATCAAACAAATAAGCACTCTGCAGAGCGGCTTAGTACATTACATAGTAAAATACTGGACTGTGGTGATATTGATGCTATCTTACTGCTTATAGAAAGCAACATCAGGTTTAAGTTGTAATAAAAAGCGCCCATTATTCATTAGTAACACGAACAGTCTTACAGAAAGGGGCTGAAAACATTTCTCAGCTCTTCCTTGGCAGATGAAAATGTATTGGGAGTCTTGAGAAACGCTTCCACCAGATCTTCACGGACATCACAGCTGCGATCTTGCTCGCTGAAGGGAGCGCTGCTTTTAGCAAAGCACGGCAGGGACAGGGTGCGGGAGCCAAGACGTGGACAATAAGGAAACGTTCTGGCCCAAATATGTATTTTCTCTTTCTCCTTCTAAAGAGAAGTTGGTGCAATTTAGATGCATGAATTTAAGGAACCCAGAAGCAATTACTGAGACTGTCATGCAGCGCTTTACCCCAGGCTATACTGATCCTGGCAATAGGAGAGGGGCTGTGTTTTCACAAGGGTGAGTGCATTGATACTCGGTTTCCCAGCAGAGCAGGATGCACGCAGACTTTCTCAGCATCAGGTGAGAGCGATGCCAGTGCCACCTTTGGCAGATCTGCAATGCAAGACCCACAGGAGGAGATGCCGGGCTCCCTCCCTGCTGCTGGGGGCTCTCCTGAGTCCAGGGCAGTAACTGGGAAAGATGGTTCTTGTGGTTTTCTCTACGGATAAATGCCATCGAGGGGGAGCGGCCTGTGCTGCTCTGTAAGTCTTGTCCAAGGCACCACTTCTGTTGCTACACCACAGGGGCCCACTACACTGGGAAGTAAACCCAAATTTATTAAACCTGATGAACTTAGTAACACCAGTGTCCTCATGTGACAGCCGTCACAGCAACAGGGACTAAGCTATTTAAAAACTTCCTCACTCAACCTAGAGAAGTGCACATGTATGCTTTCACATGTTTATGTTATAGAAAGAATTTGCTTTCTTCTTTGGCTTTACTCGCGCTGTGAAGCACTTCAGCAGCTACACCTACCGCAGTAGGACTTAAAAGCCTTGTCTCAAGGCCCAAGCTGACCACGTTAAAGCTCTGCACACCAGACCTCTGTCCCTGCCCTCGCACACAGACCCACATGAGCCTTTGTTAAAGGTAACTGCTGTCAAAAGCACAACCATATCCAAGGTGGTATTGTAGTGCAATGCAAACCATGGCAGCATTTGCTGGTTTTAATCCACGGGAACCCTCCGTTGAGGTCGCCTGGGTTGGCCATCTGTGCTTTAATCCATGGATTGGGTTTCTAGTGGTAACTAAAACCTTGTACTCGCTATGCTGGCTGCTAAGGACAGGCGAGGCAAAGGAGCTGCTCTAGCACAGCTTTGCCTAAGCCATGCAGAATCTGCTGGAAATCAGCTTGCCCGAGGAGCTCTGCCTGGCCTTGGGACACAGGGACTTATGTTCTCAGAAAGCTGCATCTGCCAAACCTCACTGACTTTTGCCCTCATTTTTGTGCGCTTTACACTGTAAGAAAGTTGTAGAACTGAAAGATCGAAAAAGCACCCCAGTGTATGGAAGAAAAATGAACCTGGAGAGATTAAAAGAAGGGGGGGGAAGGGAGAGTGGGATATCAAAATATATTTGAGAGAGAGAGAGAGAAAAAGCTGACAACTGTCTTATTTGTCCATACGCAGCCTGTAGGACAGAAATGGGGCGCAGACACTAACGCTTGTTCCTGCCCAAAGAGGAAGGCAGGAGTTTGAGAGGGAAGGAGTAAGACACCATCAGAGTGCTGCTTCACAGGCTGGAGTGTATTTTGACTTCATTTGTTTTGCGCATCCCTGTTCCTAGACCTGGCAAGATGAAGATGAGAGGCAACCCAGCTACAGGAAAGGGGGCTTCTTCCATTTAACTGGATAGCGAAACAGAGGATCGACAGGTAAGATTTCAGAGAGACACCTGACTTCAAAATCCCTGCTAAAATCTTTTTAAAATCAATTTGCTTGTAAGACAAAACAAGCATGGGGGTGCCCTTGGCTTGCCTCGGTCCAAAGCTATGGAAGGCTGCATGTTAACATGGGACTCTTCTTCACCGAGCCAGCTCTCTGCAAACACACGATCCAGGTAGACATTACACCTTAGAGCACCGCACACAGAACAAAGTGATTCATTTTTGCTACCTACGCGCTCGAAGGACTAGACTGCAGGCTATAATCTAGTGTTAAAAACCTTGGTATCATCAATTTTG